CTCTTAGTCTCTGTCCACCAGAGAAGTTTAACCTCTGAAAGGAGGAGGAGATCCAGATGGCTCATCAGATTCGTAGAATGGTCCCTCTGGATGAAGCAGGAAGTTACTCATAGGGAGGTCATTTAGGGGCTCTATGACTCAGCCTCAGGGACAGGAGGAAGACAAAGCTCCCTAAAGTCCTTGTCAAGAATCAGAACCACTAGGCTGAGCTTCCTCTCAAGCCTTTATTTCTACAGCATCCTGACAGCCCGCCTGCTCCTCTGCATGCTATTCCACAGTGCTTCATAAAAGCTGGCTGCAGAGGAAGTCCAGTGGAGCTGAGGCCCCTTCCTCGGCCATTGCCTCAGCCACGCACAGGATGTGGGAATCCAGTGGGCTAACAGGAGCCAGGGCCCAGAGGCCCCTGCTCATTAAGGATTTACAGATCCACATTCAGGGCTCAAAAGCAGTAGTTATTAGCCACTTTTGTTTGCTCTCTGTGGGTAAAGGTTTCCCATCTCGTTTTTATTCATGAGAGCGCTCAAGTGCAGAATGGGAAAGTAGAGGGCCTGTGGCCACAGGAAAGCTGCGTCAAAGACTGAGAACCCTTATGGGGACCATTAGGGTTCTGATGATGGCAACAAATGCCATTTTAGCAAAAACCCCTTCCTGATGCTTTCTCTAAAATTTGGAGACCTCTTAACTCATTACAGTTTCTACAATTCTTATTATTAGAGGCAGGGTCTTGATATGTCTCTGAGGCTGATCCTCTCGCCTCAGCCTTTTCGGTGATGGGCTCACAAGCAAAAGCCACCATGCTAGGCCTCTCATGCATTTATTTCCCATGCAACCCCCAGACATTGGGTTGTTCTTAACCGTGGTTATCGTCTTTGACTAAAGCTGCTAATTATTGAGGTGGTTGCTTTGTAGAGCCTGGATGAGGCCAGGACATCAGGTAGGAAGAGAAAAAGCTTGCTTTGGAGCTGCCTTCTCACAGCCACATGGTCGCCCATTTGTGAAAAAGCACTCCACTTGTAAAGTTAACCACCCATTAGCAAGTAAGAGCTGTTTGCACTAATTGGTGGACTCCTGGGAAAAAGCTGCATAGTTAGTGGTTGGAGTAATGGACCAGGTGCCCTTGACTTCTATTTCTGGTTCCTTCAGAATCTTGTTGTGTGGCCCTAGGCAGTTGTCCCTCATTTCTGTATGCCTTGTTTCTTCTCCTTTAACCCCAAGAAAATCCCTGCTTTTCTTTGGGGGACAGGTGCTAAGTAAGAAAAGAAACAGTGTCTGTGGAACTTTGTGGAGACGACTAGCTGAAGTGCCTTGACTTAACAGGTTTTAATCAGTAGAACCCCTGATTATTGATAAATCTACACCGTTTGAGCTTATAATTAGCTCCTTGGGCACACAAGTAGCCGCAGTCCACGGGGAGGCTAGCCAGGTCTTCACCATGATTATCAGCTGTCTGCCCTGTCTTTCCGCGGGATCCCAGATCACAGTGATGACTCTCCACAGTGGCAGGGATGGGTTGGCTTCTCTGAAAACCAGGTCATGGAGGCTCCTCCAGAGTAGCCCCAGGGACTGTCTGTTACCAGCATAGTGATAGCTCATCCCTCCATTTTTATGGGGGGGGGGGAACACACGATACCAGGCATCTTCCCTTCGCTTATTTCCTTATTGTTTTGTGCTATGCCAGCTGAGTGTTGAGCAGCCAGGGGCTCTATGGGGTGCAGTGGCACGTGAACAGAAATGCCCCAGTGCCCCAAGAAGAACATAGTGCCTTTAGCTTCAATGACATCCAGCTTTTGCTGCCAGCAGCAGCCACCTCTGCCCTCCCCATCCCTTCAGCCTTCCAACTCCTGCCCTACCCCCCAGCAGCAGCGGCTCCTTAGCCCCACCCCTCTTCAGTGAGGAAAGTAACACTAGCCAGTGTTGTTGCCTATGTGTCTGTCCTCCTCCATTCCAGCAGGGTTCTTTTTAGGTCCCCAAGCAACCATCTGATCTAGAAAAACTACCCACTCATTTTTTTTTCCTACTCCTACCTTTCCTTCCCAATATTTAATTTGGAAAAAAAAAAGTTGTGCTAAAACAGCTATCAGGGAATCCACTGTTCTGCCCCTGCTACAAATTTTCTACAGAATCTGCATCACCCTAGGGACACACCCTGGCAGTCAGGGCTCCAGCTTCATCTTCCAGAGCAGCCCAGAGGCAGAAGCCCTCCCCTTTCCCTGGGCAGCCACCCTGGCGAAGGATGAGGGGCTGCATGGAGCCCAGATGGTTTTGTTTGGGCCCTTTGGCAGGCACACAGATCTCCACACTGCACAGCATCAGGGACCACTTAGGGGAAAGGCATGGTTTGTGTTTTATATTTTTGCAAGGAGCTGGGGAAGGAGCTGTTGCCAGGAAACCGACCCTCAGAGCACTGTGCTCCAGGATTCTTTATCAAGGCTGGGGGCACTTCCTAAGAAAAGGCACAACTGGGGCTCTTTGCTGAGTGTCCGGTCAAGCCAAGCATAGCTCCCTCTCCTCCCAGGGAGGGTCTACTCTCTGGTCTGCACATCAGATGCAGAGGGCCCCTTCGTCTCAACCCCACTCCACGCTATTGAGACCTGTTACTGATAGGCCCATGCACGATTGATGAAAACACATTGGAAATCTCAAAATGGCAACAGCAAGCTCATGACCATCCTGAGCAAGGGGCACTTGAGTCACATGCCCATGAAGCCAGTCCTGTACCAGGATCCACTGTCCCTGGTTAGGTGACTATACAGTAGAGTCTAAGAAGGACAACCTTTTCTTGGGGTATTGGTGAGGCAGTATAAGCCTTTATACTTACTGTAAGATTTTTAGCACACACATCATCTAATTTTTTTAGGCTCAAGACTTGGAAAACTTAAGAAAATAACTCTGGTGGTAGTTCTGCAGTTACTCTCTCATTTGCTAGGCTCTGGGAGCACTAAGCACAAGGAAAACAGACAGAGATCCATCTTTGTTCTTATTTTAATGATTTAATTTTATTTTATGTGTATTAGTGTGAAAGCATCAGATCCTTTGGAATTGGGGGGTTACAGACAGTTGTGAGCTACCATGTGGATGCTGGGAATTGAACCTGGGTCATTTGGAAGCGCAGACACTGCTCTTAACCACTGAGCCATCTCTCTAGCCCCTATCTTTGTTAAATAGTTGTTTATACCGTTGTTGAGCCCAAGACCTGTTGCAGTTAATCAACCTTGCAAGAACTGGATTGCTACAATTTACTTAAGCGGTGACTTAGAAGGAGGGGAGCTGGAGTTAAACAGGGGCTTTAGACTCTAGAGCCTCTATGGTCTTGCCATGGCGTTCTATAGTGTGGGAGGTTATGCACAGGGTCATAAAGTTTAGTAGTTTCGGTGTTTATATGACTGTGGTGAAGTTTATGTGAGCTATCTATACCCAACAAGTGGGTATCAAAGTGTCCGCAGAGCAGTCATTGGCTGAGGCATAGTTCTGTGTATTTCAGTGACAAAAAGGTAGAATGGACGTAGAGCCTTCTGAGCCTGTGCAAGACTTTGGATCATTTGCTTTTCTTGCAATGCCCCACCACTCACTTGAAACTGATCTTCGGAGAGACAGGGTGAAATGCACTGTGGATGAAGAGAGGGCTCCTAAGGAAGAGTCACTAGTTACCCTTGCCTTTCCACTTACCCTTGCAGACAAAGTTGTTTAGAAAGCCACACCGAGAGAGTGTGATGATGAAAGAATGCAGCCACTCTGAAAAACAGTTTAACTGCAGGCCAGTTTTACTCGGGTGGTAATTCCACTAGCCCTGCATTGACTAACTGCTTTCTGGGCATGGAGAAAACGGGAGGTGGATGCTGTAACAGAGAGCTGGGAACTCAGTCTGGAACCAAACCTAAAAAGCTACGCCCCCACACGGGGTGGACAAAGGGGGATTACAGGGAAGACTTAGCCATTCTCACGGGAAAGTCAAGAACAGACTCCCTGCTTAACAGACAGCCTGCTTTTACTCGGGTGCAAAGCAAACTCATGTTCTAAGTGTATAGATAGAAATGGGAGCTCCATGAATATAGTAAATGCAAATGCGTGTGAACAGAGCTTTAGCCTCTGCTGACATTCCCCAGACCTCTAAGTAACTTTCACTTTCATCCAGAAAAAGGCACCCCACTCCCGGAGCAATCGGAAGTAGCCCTAATTGCCTCTCAACCTCAAGATCAGCTTCTTTCACTCCTGGGGTTCCCTGGTCCTGTTGTTGGCCAGGCAAGACTGCAGTACCCCCACAGGACAGAGCTCTTGCTCTCCCCCCTCCCTTCCCCCTTTGTGGCGGAAAAAAAAAAAAAAGAAAAGAAAAGAAAAAGAAAGGAAGAAAAGAAAAAAAGCATGACAAACACGCACTGTGATCATGAGTCGCCGCCTGCCCCCAACTATGGTCGCAGCAGCCTCCGCCCTCCAGTGAGTGAGGATGTCTGAGGCTCTTGCACATTAGCGGCAGGAAGTGGAGTCCCGAAGGGAGGCTGGGAATTTGAACGCCTTCCCATTTCAGCACTCGGAGGAGGAAGCGCTGCTCAGCCCTCCGCAGCGCGCACAGATGGCTACCTCTGCCTCCTGAGCGCTGTGTTCCCGGGCTCTGAGCCTCTCCTCCCCTCCTCTCGGCTCCCCCGCCCCCGCCCCTCTCCCCCTCCTTGGAGGGAAAAGTCTGCGGAGCTGGGAACTGTCTTGGAGAATTCAACAAAGGCGCGAGCCAAAGGGGAACAAACTTGAAAAAGAACTTGTTTTGTGCCTGTTAAGAAACCTGCAGGGAAAATCCACACCTTCCAGGGTAGGTGGATGTGTTTGTGTGTACGTGTGTGTTTCAATCGCTGATAGTAGGCAGGCTACCCGGAGGAGGCAGCGGCAACTCTTAAGGTCTCCGCTTTGATAAGGAAACTCTCAGCTGTTGAAAAGTTAATCAGCAAAGGAGGGACACCGCGACCAGGGAACTCCGCTACTCCCGAGTTTAAACTTCGTTGTTTTCCATCCAGATATTTCAATGGAGGCAGCTGGAGAATCTGTATTTCAGGGAAAAGAAGTTTTCCGTGGAAGTTCATGACCCCCGCAGGTAAGCCTGAAAAGCCTTTTCTCTTTCGAGAGTGTGTGGCATACTATTTGTGTATTGGTTTTGTGTTGTGACGGTTCATGTTCGTAATATTTGGGGTGAGGGGAGAGGATGGTGAATCAGGGAGAGCAGAGTTCACATCAGACAGTGAAGCTTTGTGATGATGAATGCAAAGTGTTCGTGTGCCTGGGGTGTGTGTGTGTGTGTGTGTGTGTGTGTGTGTGTGTGTGTGTGTGTG